TCTACAACAGGCCCATTGCGGTGAATGAATGTGTACTTGGAGAGTGCGGACAGCCGCGAACCTCTTCTGCCATCGAAAATATAGGTTCGTTATTCTTCCTGTGGCATATTGTTCTAGTATTGGCTTCGGTCGGCTCGGTGTCGAATAACTACACAGGTCTCTAAAATATGGGTATGAAGTGTTCTGGGTGTGCTGCGCATCATTATTGATTGGCTGCTGTTGACTACTGTGCAGGCCTAAGGGAGATTTCAGTCATGACGACCCTGAATAGAGTCCATTATTCATTAACATCAGACCACCGTGAGTCAAGTTTTTCAACAATAAACAAACATAAGGTGGCTACGCTTGTTCCCATTCCCTTTCAACGTCATGGAAGTTATGACAGGATTATACAATATATGTCATTAATGTTGAATGCTTAAGTATTCGCCGCTTCCTCGGAAATTTTATCATTGATAATCAGCATGATTATGGTAGCCGACTTCCTGGTTTTGTTGTTAACACCAGGTTAAAGCACACAAAAAGACACTTTTTTTAAATCTGAAGTCAACGGCAGGGGGCAGCACTGCCTCAGAGAGTGACCTTATTCCCATGGGCAAATGCTAGGCAAAATTTAGTCTCGAATATTGTCCTTGACTTGGTGTTGAGAGGAACAGTGAAGTACACTGAGCTCACACGGAGCTCACGAAAGCCACAGAGCTCCTGGCGCTTGACGTTCACAAACTTCGAAATAATGCAGCAGTCAAACGTCCTCAATGGCCTAGAACTTGAGAGGAACCACGACAACCTAAAGGCTGGTACGTGAAGGCTAAGACGACCTGATAGCACATTCAAAAATACGTGCAGATAGTTATATAATTAAAAGTAGGAACACCCTGACTTTGCGACATTCCCTTCTTCTGCACAATGTCTTAGCAGTAGAGCCTGTTTAATACAGTTGACCCAATTGTGAAAAATTCGCAGCCTCGGTGGAAGTCGAACCCACACAGCAGGGAAGGTTTTTGCGCAACTAAAGCTCTATCATTGAGCTACGAGGCTCACCGTGCGCTGTGAATGTAATCACACTTGGGTCCATTTCGCCCGCCCAGCTTTACTGCTCGTATGGAATCCACCAATACGGACACAGGATTTCCTTAGTTATCATCTAGTATCCACCGGATGGACTGCTAGGCTCACGTAATCGTTAGGAGAGTTTGACAGATTTGCTTAATTCAGTGGACTCAATTGGGAAAAATTCACAATTGTGTGGGTTCGACTCTCATCGAGGC